AATGACCCTCTGTTTTTCCCATAAAATACAAAGATTATATAGGGAAATACAACTGGTCAGTTTTGACCGCTTTACGAAGTTTTCCCGGATATGCCGAGTTTTTTGTGACACCCCTAGGTGTTCTTCTACCACCTCACAAAATATCAAGGGGGGTCGTCGGAGGAAATTTTGTTTCGTAATAGAGCTCATATAAAGACAATTTCACTCGCGGTCACTTTTTAGCCCTCGTCGAGGGCTTTGAGTGTAACCGACAGTTTTCCCTAAAGGTCAAGCCATTGAACTAGGAGCATGCAAAAAAATTAGCCAGATATACTGAGCTTAAGTACCCTAAAGTCTGCGTTGAAATGACCCTCTGTTTTTCCCATAAAATACAAAGATTATATAGGGAAATACAACTGGTCAGTTTTGACCGCTTTACGAAGTTTTCCCAGATATGCCGAGTTTTTTGTGACACCCCTAGGTGTTCTTCTACCACCTCACAAAATATCAAGGGGGGTCTTCGGAGGAATTTTATTTTCGTAATAGAGCTCATGTAAAGAGAATTTCACTCGCGGTCACTTTTTAGCCCTCGTCGAGGGCTTTGAGTATAACCGACAGTTTTCCCTAAAGGTCAAGCCATTGACCTAGGAGCATGCAAAAAATTAGCCAGATATACTGAGCTTAAGTACCCTAAAGTCTGCGTTGAAATGACCCTCTGTTTTTCCCATAAAATACAAAGATTATATAGGGAAATACAACTGGTCAGTTTTGACCGCTTTACGAAGTTTTCCCAGATATGCCGAGTTTTTTGTGACACCCCTAGGTGTTCTTCTACCACCTCACAAAATATCAAGGGGGGTCGTCGGATGAAATTTTTTTTCGCAATAAAGCTCATATAAAGAGAATTTTACTCGCGGTCACTTTTTAGCCCTCGTCGAGGGCTTTGAGTGTAACCGACAGTTTTCCCTAAAGGTCAAGCCATTTACCTAAGAGTATGCAAAAAATTAGCCAGATATACTGAGCTTAAGTACCCTAAAGTCTGCGTTGAAATGACCCTCTGTTTTTCCCATAAAATACAAAGATTATATAGGGAAATACAACTGGTCAGTTTTGACCCCTTTACGAAGTTTTCCCAGATATGCCGAGTTTTTTGTGACACCCCTAGGTGTTCTTCTACCACCACACAAAATTTCAAGGGGGGTCGTCGGAGGAATTTTTTTTTCGTAATATAGCCCATATAAGGCGCCGGTCAGTCGAGGTCAGTTTTGACCCCCTCTCCGTAGACTTTTCGGCCAACCGTCGCCGGCCCTCGTGTTCTATCGCCCCAAGGCACCATCGTGCCAAATTTGACGCGCCTGCTGCGCCGGAAAGTGCCCTATCGGGCACCCGACAACTTTGCTTTATATATATATATATATATATATATATATATATATATATATATATATATATATATATATATATATATATATATATATATATGTAACTATATATATGTAACTATATATATATATATATATATATATATATATATATATATATATATATATATATATATATATATATATATATATATGTATACTGAGTTTATCTATGTCTTTGTTTCTGTATGCTGAGACAAGCGTTATGTAAAACTATTACTGCAGTTTGAAATAATTTATTAGCGTCAAAACGATAAGGAAAATTATAAATACCTTTGTTTAATGGTTATCAGATGTTTTGTCTATAAGAATATATCACCCGCACGGCGAAATTATTATTCTCGTTCAAATGAAATTTTCGATGTTAGTAATTAACATAATGGATACCAGAGCATCACTCCAACAATGAAATAAAAGCTTCTTCTAAAATATGGAAACATATATATATATATATAAATATATATACATATATATATATATATATATATATATATATATATATATATATATATATATATATATATATATATATATATATATATATATATATAAATATATATATATATATATATTATATATATATATATATATATATATATATATATATATATATATATATATATATATATATATATATATATATATTCGTTTCCAGTTAAATTTGAAGTTTAGGTGGTTACTTAAGTTTTGGTTTAGAGAAATAGTCAACACTATCAACCTAGCGCCCGTTGTATCTCTCCCGGGCCATTTATCTCGAATTAAAGAAGAATGATTCAAAATAAAATTTAATAAAGTGTTATTACATTTTTTTAAAAATGCATAAAAAGTAACAAGCTTTAAGTTAATAATGAACTACACACGAGAATGTGGGTTGTGGCTCTGGGGAAGTACCTATATAGTAAATATATACTTATATACTTGTCCGCCCCATCGAACAATTTAGTACGACCACCAACCTCCGAAAATTTTAAGTACTACCCCCCCTCCCACCCAACCAACCCAACCAGGAAAAAGTGTCTGAAAAAAAAACCCCGGCTGTCTGCGTGATTAGATTAGAGATGTAGGGTGTACCTTTAGTCTGTATGCTCTGCGACCAGTGTTTCTTTCAGATTTTTTACTCAATGTAGTTGGAAACTTGAAATTCCTGAGGGCGGGGACGAAAAAAGGTTACGACTAAATTTTATCCGAGGTAATGGAGGGTGGACACTGGTGAATTATAATTTCCATATACATTTTAATTTGTCGTAGGGGGGGGGTCGGTGGTGGACGTTTTGAAAGAAACTGTGAATGTGACCTTTGTCAAATATCAGCTTATGAGTAAGGTGAGTAGTATGATCTGCGACTATTTTTACTATGAATGTGCAGCAAAAAGTGTAGATCAAGTTTATTAGATTAAGTATTAAGGATGAATAATTAATCTATACCAGCTTTACAAAATCAGTAATTCTCCTTTAACTTCGAGTTAAATCAGCTTTCGATAACGAGTTAATAGGAATCGGTTCAGATTAATACATTTTCACCACAAAATTAATCATTAGCTTTAAAAGTTTAACAAAAGTCTAACATTAATGTCTTAGAGCAGGGGTCTCCAAACTACGGGGGGGGGGAGCTGCCACCCTGAAGAAATGTTTTGAAGAAACTCTGGCCCCCGAAATTATATTTGATAGTTAATGCGGCCCTCGGGCTGAAAAGTTTGGAGACCCCTGTCTTAGAGGACTAGAATTTTCTCCGACCCAAGAGTTGCACCCCTCTGCGGTTTAGAAACGAGTGAAGTCCCCTGGGCGGCAGTGCGACTTTTCCTATCAAACCGTTATCAAGCGGATGATTTCGATTCTATGAGTTTGGTGGGTCACGTTTTGTGGGGTAGTCGATTTTTAACACCTGTTGTCTGCTGAGTCATTGCATACAACACTTGACTTGTTGATTTCCCAACGTGACAAATCGACTTGGTGTTCGACAACATATGCTGTTCCTATCTGCACCATCAGTGATTAAAGTCAAAATGAATTGTACAACAGGGAGTCTGAATTGTTTTCTTATCACAAGTAAATTGCTTTTGTTATCTATTGATTTCAAAGTAGTGTAAAATAGGGGCACAGTTGTATATTTATATTATGGCGGTTTCTAGTTTACAGAAATTGGAACACAATATAAAGTCTGTATTATGACAGAGTGGTCTGTAGCTAGAGCCCGTGACTGTTAAGACAGGTGCTAGGATCCCATGTTCTGGTCCATCAAGCTCTAATCAACGCTTAACATAAGGTAGGGAAACTACAGATATTTTTTTTGCATAAAACTGACCACAATGAAACTACTTGTGCCAAACCCCTTAACGCCGACTGTCGCGTTTTCGCGACATACCGATTTAGCGCATAGCAAATGTGCATAGGTACATTTATCCTACTGCTGACGGTCGTTCTATATTGGGTACATCTAAACGGTTATATGGGTACCACTGGTCACGTTTTCAAGTCGAAATTTATGACGTCACACTCTCTTGACTCACGCGCATCGTAATTTTTTTGACTTTTTCGAATTCAGCCTACTTAGATTGATTATTATTACTAAATAGGTGATCCGTTTTTGCTACAAAAAATACTAATAGATTTTATATTCACTCTTTTACGTATGCAAACAGTATAAATCACATATGAGAATACTTTTGGAAGTTATCTGCCCATTACGGGTTGTCGCGTTTTCGCGACATCCGGCAATAAGACATAAAATGGTACTTGGGTGCCAAGCAGATTTAACGAAATACGATGCATCGCCAAGCTGTCATTTTTTCAAGTATGATTATAAAGAAGTAAAGGATTTACAATAGGAGAACATAAACAAAATAAATGGACAACTGGACGCGAGGTGGTGGACCACTATCCTGGATACCTCCAAAGAAAGGTCTTCACAACGACCGTGACAATAATAATACTGATCATAAACCTCCACCTCGTAATAGATACAGTAAGGTTGAATACTAAAAAAAATAAAATGTGCAGTGCTATTGAAGACCCACATTAGTGGCATTATACTGGCATTTAGTGCCGACAGCAGTGTTATTAAGTATCCACATCTTCAGCACTGAGTACCAACATCATTGATACTGAGCCACCACAGTTTGGGCACTAAGCACTCACAGCAGTGATACTGAGTACACATTGAGTAGCCACAGCAACGTTATTGATTACCAACAGCTCCAGCGCTGAGTACCCACAGTAGTGACAACAATAACAGACTACAGTAACAGAGAGTACCCACAGCTTCAACAGTGAGTACCCACAGCTTCAACAGTGAGTACCCACAGCTTCAACACTCAGTACACATGGCTTCAACACTCAGTACCCACGGTTTCAGCACTGAGTACACATACCAGTGGCAATATGTAGCTACGGCTCTGTCATTGATAATCTATAACATAATCATTTGCAAAATAAAACGTTGTTTGATTCAATAATTCACTTTCCTCATTATTTATGCTCTCTAAACACCACAACATTAAATACGTAATTGTGTTCGTTTTATTTGGTCTGCGATATGGTTATTTAATTTTTTTAAAGTTATGTTAATCATGTTTTATTATTAATAATTTTGTTTCAATTACAGATATATAAAAGTTGGATCAAGATGAAGTTTGCAAAAAAAACCATCGCAGCCATACTGTTTATGTGCATATCATACGCACAGGGTGAGTCTATTGCGATTGGAAAAACATAGTTTTGCAAGTTTGCCCGTATATTTGTGTGTGTATGTGTATGTCTGTGAAAACGATTACCGTTACAGCTAGGTTGATGAAATTTGAAACATGGTTGAAATATCTGATTCTCTGCCTTCCGTCAAATTTTAAAATATTCCGTTGACCGTAAGCAGTACTTTACTCAATTTCCGAATTTTAAGTCATGTCCATATCCCGAGTTGCCCACACCAGTAGTGTTATATAAGAATATAAGATACAGTTTAGGGGACATCACTCCCGCTTTATTTACATTGAGACAGATTTTGGTGTTTGCAGTTCTAGATTTCTAATTATTAAAGATGTTTATTTAGTTCACTAAAATTTTGTGAGTGTTAGCACTTTTCCCAGCCGCCACTGATTTGAATCCTGATTTGAAATCGAGACTCACTCGATACTCACGGCAAGACTTAGCTCTCTAACGCTAAGCCATGCCGTCCCCGTGAGCTCACATGAGGAGAATATATTCCCTTTTTTGGGGAGGTTATTGACAGTTTTTGTTGCGCAACGTTATATAAGAACTATTTCTAGTTTTAATTACTGGACGCCCTGACTTTTATTTTTAGTCATATCAGCAAACAGCTTTAGTTACGTCACAGCAAAATAATTTTTAAATCTAATTTGTTAGTACATGTTTGCATATGTAATTTTTTTTGTTGTTGTAGTTTGTGAAAACAACAAACGCTTAAATATTTATTTTTTATTTGTGAAAATTTTAATCTTTTTTTTTTTTTGCAAGAAGCACCCACTTTAAAAAAAAAAATAATTAAAACTGTTATTTTTAAACAAAATATTACATATTTAGCTTTAAGAAATCTGAATGAAATCATGTTCTTAAACATCCATTTTTGGGTAGATACATGTAGAGTGATTTGCCTATAAAATATGTTTTATTGTATTGGAAAATTGTTTTTTTCTATTGCTTGTACGATTCTTTCGTTTAGATAGTTGGTACTTCCGAAAAGTTAAAATAAAATTGACAGTTATATGATCAAACTATCGTAAGAAAAAGTGCTTTTATGAAATAGAATATACCCATAGTATCGAGACATTATACAGACATTAACAATTAATTATTTTTTGTTTTAGCCCAGTGTAGCTGCCAGCAAATAACAACGGTGGTCAATGGACAAAATGTTTCTTCCTGCAAGCCGACCTATATCTTCTACCAAATTTCTCCTCCTAAAAGTAATGGTGAGAACATCGATATTTTAAAATCGATAAATTAATTAACATATATGTAAAAATAATTTTAAAAATTAGAGAAGTATTTGGTCCTAATAATAAGAAAATTACCTACTATTTTATGATTCACAAAAATTAAGGCGAATACAATTAATAGCAAACATGACAGCTGAAATATATCGTTAATTTATTTATATGTTGTATAATGTATGTTATTAATTAATTTATAAAAGCCGCTTAACAATACCTTTACAAAGGAAACAATGATAAAGCAAACACAGTTCCCTCATTATACTTTAGGTTAGAATTAATCAGAATATTTATAATTTGTAATATCTACTTGCAATATACTTCGTATAAATAAGACATTTTTTATTTAGTAATGTCAAATGAGTAGTTGCAGTAAGCTAAGGGAAGTAAAGTTTAATTTTGGAGCTTTCAATCCTAGATCGGTTGGTTTTCCCAGGTTAAGAGCATCGTAAAATTATATGGCAGAACCAGTAAAACACGCATAAGCGATCACACATTATTTCAAACAGACCTATTAGGCAGATGATCTGGATTATTGTGACTATGAGCTTATGTTGTAAGCAAATATATTTTATAGTTATTTGCTATTGTGTGTTACGGTATCATTGCGATAGTTCTTTTGCCGCCCTACCAAAATACAAGTTTTCAGATTTTTAAAAGATTGTTTATGTTTTGCGTATTGTACAAGTCGAAAATTGTGATTGACCAGCTGGGCATAAGGTACAACGTAAACAAAGTGTAGATCACACATTATTTGATACACATACCTGCTATCTATTGTTCAATTTTTTTCAGACATTGACGAATGCAAAGCTCAGCCAAGTCCATGTGAACAAGTCTGTACCAACACCATTGGAAGCTACACCTGCTCATGTAATGCTGGATATGTCATAAGTAAAAAAGACCCTAGGCGGTGTGACGGTAAGTCTCAGAATTACACACATTTGTAATTCCTCATCAGAAATTTTTTTATTTTTGAAATACATAAAATACTCGGCTCTATGGTACTTTTTGTCTGCAAACTTAACTTCTAGACATCAATGAATGCAGCGCTAAGCCAAGCCCATGTCAACAGATTTGCATCAACACAGACGGAAGCTTCACTTGTTTATGTAGACCTGGATTCGCCGTAAACAGCACGGACCCAACTAGGTGTTATGGTATGTCATCAAATTAACGCAACAAAACATTTCTTGCTTTTAAATGTATAATAAATATCGATGTTGTGTACAAAGGGAAAATTGATAAAGTAAACAAATAGTTTACTGTGTTTTACGTAAGATTAGTATTTATCGGTGTGTAGTATTTACTGATATTTTATACATCTTTTCTTAGAGAAAATTGTATTTTTACAGCACCAAAAAAAGTAATGTCGAAAATGCGGAATATAAAGCACTTTATAAAATCGGCTCGAATTTCTGTGAATAAGTACAGACACACGCCAATATATATATATATATATATATATATATATATATATATATATATATATATATATATATATATATATATATATATATATATATATATATATATATATATAATATTTATAGACTATTTATAGAATATTTATAGAATATTTATAGAATATTTATAGAATATTTATAGAATATTTATATATTATTTATATAGTATTTATATAATATTTATTATATATATATATATATATATATATATATATAATATGTATGTATATATATACATATATATATATATATATGTATATATATAATATGTATGTATATATATACATTATATATAATATAATATATGAAATTAAAATTATATATATATATATAAATATATATATATATATATATATATATATATATATATATATATATATATATATATATATATATATATAATATTATATAAATATTATATATATATATATATATATATATATATATATATATATATATATACACATAAATATATATATATGTGTGTATATATATAATATGTATGTATATATACATTATATATAATATAATATAAAATATGAAATTAAAATAATATATTTATATATATATATATATATATATATATATATATATATATATATATATATATATAATATTCATATAATACTTATGTCATATTTATATAATATTTATATAGCTAAAACGGACTCTGTTTCTCCTTCTGGTAGGTAAAACACAGATATTTTAAATACTGCCATATATTTTTTACACATAATGTACTGTTTATCAATTATTTCTTGGAGTCAAAACCAGTTTAGTCTTCCTCTACGTTTGCGGACAAGCTTGGGATATTATATCCGATCACTATTGAATCAGACGCGTCCGCAGGCGCGATCCTATGAGCGCCTTGGTGCATACGTTCGTTTTAAACATTTCAATAGACTATGGATAAGAGAGTTATTATAGTCCTTCACTATATCGAATCTGGGCGTCCTCGGGCGACCCGAAAGGGTGCTATTTGGCGCCAGTGCCTTCCCGTGAGCGCTATGGCGCCTACAATAGGATAAATTAGTTAAATAGACTAACGATAAGATGGGTATTAAAGTTGTTTATTAAGTTGTATCAGGCGGGTCCTCCGGCACCACGGCAAGGTGCAATTTGCTGACCCGAGCTATAATGTGAGCGTTATTGTCTGCGTTATTGATTGCGTTAATGTTGGCATATACATGTGTATTTTTGTTTGGGTTTGGCTTTTGTTTGTGTTTGCTTTTGTGTTTGTGTTTGCTTTTGTGTTTGCAATTGCGTTTATGTTTGTGTTTGCGATTGCGTTTTCTTTGTGTTTGTGTTATGTTTGCTTTTTTTTGGTTTTGGTTGGTTGTGGTTAGTGTTAAGTTTAAAGTTTAAAGTTTAAAGTTTAAAGTTTAAAGTTTAAAGTTTAAAGTTTAAAGTTTAAAGTTTAAAGTTTAAAGTTTAAAGTTTAAAGTTTAAAGTTTAAAGTTTAAAGTTTAAAGTTTAAAGTTTAAAGTTTAAAGTTTAAAGTTTAAAGTTTAAAGTTTAAAGTTTAAAGTTTAAAGTTTAAAGTTTAAAGTTTAAAGTTTAAAGTTTAAAGTTTAAAGTTTAAAGTTTAAAGTTTAAAGTTTAAAGTTTAAAGTTTAAAGTTTAAAGTTTAAAGTTTAAAGTTTAAAGTTTAAAGTTTAAAGTTTAAAGTTTAAAGTTTAAAGTTTAAAGTTTAAAGTTTAAAGTTTAAAGTTTAAAGTTTAAAGTTTAAAGTTTAAAGTTTAAAGTTTAAAGTTTAAAGTTTAAAGTTTAAAGTTTAAAGTTTAAAGTTTAAAGTTTAAAGTTTAAAGTTTAAAGTTTAAAGTTTAAAGTTTAAAGTTTAAAGTTTAAAGTTTAAAGTTTAAAGTTTAAAGTTTAAAGTTTAAAGTTTAAAGTTTAAAGTTTAAAGTTTAAAGTTTAAAGTTTAAAGTTTAAAGTTTAAAGTTTAAAGTTTAAAGTTTAAAGTTTAAAGTTTAAAGTTTAAAGTTTAAAGTTTAAAGTTTAAAGTTTAAAGTTTAAAGTTTAAAGTTTAAAGTTTAAAGTTTAAAGTTTAAAGTTTAAAGTTTAAAGTTTAAAGTTTAAAGTTTAAAGTTTAAAGTTTAAAGTTTAAAGTTTAAAGTTTAAAGTTTAAAGTTTAAAGTTTAAAGTTTAAAGTTTAAAGTTTAAAGTTTAAAGTTTAAAGTTTAAAGTTTAAAGTTTAAAGTTTAAAGTTTAAAGTTTAAAGTTAGAGTTCGGTTTAGGGTTATGTGTTCTTTAGTCAAAATTCCATGCCGGTTATATGCTGCTTAAATTAACACAAAAGTCATGGTCCTGAACAGAAAGCAGTTCACAGAGATCAGTACAGGGCCTGGCCGGGACGTCTAGTATATGTATATATATATATATATATATATATATATATATATATATATATATATATATATATATATATATATATATAAGAAGGTCCTTGATTTAATTTTATTATTGTAGGTTTTTAGGGAATTATTGTTTTTGTAATGAAAGGAAAATAAAAGTAGTGTTTCTTTCTACTTTTTTCTCCGGGGAGGGGGGAAGCACTTGAAATGTTCGTTAGTGTTTACTATTTATTTAAATTCTCTTTCTTCCGGTGGGGGAGGGGTTGGGGGGGGGGGGGGGAGACGGAGACTCTCAAAGAAATGCCTGGAAAACACAGAATAAAATACACCTTAGTAGCGTTAAATTAAATTATTTATTTCACGTATACATTTTCTGAGTAACGTATGTTCTTTTTTTTACCTTGTACAAGTAAATGCTTTTAAAAATAAATATTTTAAATTTAATCAGTTGTTGGAAGTGAAATTGGGCATACACTGTTCCTTTGTCATATGTATTTATAGTTACATTACACATTGAATTTGTATAGAAAACAATGTTTCCTAATTTTTATCTTGTAATTTTTATAGTTTACTGTGTTCCGTTATCAAGTGAAATAATAGAAACCCGAAACGCTACATCAGCCCTGGTAATGTATTTAAAGTGCATACTTATATCCATACTACCGTGCTTACTAACATCAATATTTACATCATAATACATATCCATAGGTATCTGAATATATAACTATGATTTATTTTAGATGACCCAGTTTCCCGTTTAGACATAGTCTGAAGACAGCACTGCAAAACACAAACCGATATCCCATATGCCGCTCCAAGAGAATTATAGTCTTTTAACCTCAAATTAATCCTAGTTCTTTAACCTAAATTCACATTTTTTAACATTCATTTATGACTTCCGTTCGAAAGAAAAGAGGTTGGGGTGGGGGAGGGAGGAAAGGTGGTGGCTTAAGTAATAATGAAGTTGAGTACGTTTGCAGAAACGGAGATCGATATAGGTTGGCTAAGAGGTAACTTTAACACATGAAATATAAGATTGGCATAATAAAATCAAACGGAAAAAACATATTACTAATAATATATTCGCAATTCTGTCAGTCATTCCGGAACGCTCTAGAAAAACACAAGTAATATATATATATATATATATATATATATATATATATATATATATATATATATATATATATATATATATATATATATATATATATTAAACACGAAAACACCTTATAACTTTGTTATGATCTTGTCCAGATAAACCCCAATAATTTTATCTATAATTATCCATATCTTTAATAATCCACATCCACAACTTCATCCACAATTACATTCACATCCACATCGAAAAGGACATCGACATCGAAATCAACATCAACATCCACAATCGTATCCAAATTTGTATCTGCATCTGTATCTGTATCTGTATCTGTATCTGTATCTGTATCTGTATCTGTATCTGTATCTGTATCTGTATCTGTATCTGTATCTGTATCTGTATCTGTATCTGTATCTGTATCTGTATCTGTATCTGTATCTGTATCTGTATCTGTATCTGTATCTGTATCTGTATCTGTATCTGTATCTGTATCTGTATCTGTATCTGTATCTGTATCTGTATCTGTATCTGTATCTGTATCTGTATCTGTATCTGTATCTGTATCTGTATCTGTATCTGTATCTGTATCTGTATCTGTATCTGTATCTGTATCTGTATCTGTATCTGTATCTGTATCTGTGTCTGTGTCTGTGTCTGTGTCTGTGTCTGTGTCTGTGTCTGTGTCTGTGTCTGTGTCTGTGTCTGTGTCTGTGTCTGTGTCTGTGTCTGTGTCTGTGTCTGTGTCTGTGTCTGTGTCTGTGTCTGTGTCTGTGTCTGTGTCTGTGTCTGTGTCTGTGTCTGTGTCTGTGTCTGTGTCTGTGTCTGTGTCTGTGTCTGTGTCTGTGTCTGTGTCTGTGTCTGTGTCTGTGTCTGTGTCTGTGTCTGTGTCTGTGTCTGTGTCTGTGTCTGTGTCTGTGTCTGTGTCTGTGTCTGTGTCTGTGTCTGTAGCTGTAGCTGTAGCTGTAGCTGTAGCTGTAGCTGTAGCTGTAGCTGTAGCTGTAGCTGTAGCTGTAGCTGTAGCTGTATCTGTATCTGTATCTGTATCTGTATCTGTATCTGTATCTGTATCTGTATCTGTATCTGTATCTGTATCTGTATCTGTATCTGTATCTGTATCTGTATCTGTAGCTGTAGCTGTAGCTGTAGCTGTAGCTGTAGCTGTAGCTGTATCTGTATCTGTATCTGTATCTGTATCTGTATCTGTATCTGTATATGTATCTGTATCTGTATCTGTATCTGTATCTGTATCTGTATCTGTATCTGTATCTGTATCTGTATCTGTATCTGTATCTGTATCTGTATCTGTGTCTGTGTCTGTGTCTGTGTCTGTGTCTGTGTCTGTATCTGTATCTGTATCTGTATCTGTATCTGTATCTGTATCTGTATCTGTATCTGTATCTGTATCTGTATCTGTATCTGTATCTGTATCTGTATCTGTATCTGTATCTGTATCTGTATCTGTATCTGTATCTGTATCTGTATCTGTATCTGTATCTGTATCTGTATCTGTATCTGTATCTGTATCTGTATCTGTATCTGTATCTGTATCTGTATCTGTATCTGTATCTGTATCTGTATCTGTATCTGTATCTGTATCTGTATCTGTATCTGTGTCTGTGTCTGTGTCTGTGTCTGTGTCTGTGTCTGTGTCTGTGTCTGTGTCTGTGTCTGTGTCTGTGTCTGTGTCTGTGTCTGTGTCTGTGTCTGTGTCTGTGTCTGTGTCTGTGTCTGTGTCTGTGTCTGTGTCTGTGTCTTTGTCTGTGTCTGTGTCTGTGTCTGTGTCTGTGTCTGTGTCTGTGTCTGTGTCTGTGTCTGTGTCTGTGTCTGTGTCTGTGTCTGTGTCTGTGTCTGTGTCTGTGTCTGTGTCTGTGTCTGTGTCTGTGTCTGTGTCTGTGTCTGTGTCTGTGTCTGTGTCTGTGTCTGTGTCTGTGTCTGTGTCTGTGTCTGTGTCTGTGTCTGTGTCTGTGTCTGTGTCTGTAGCTGTAGCTGTAGCTGTAGCTGTAGCTGTAGCTGTAGCTGTAGCTGTAGCTGTATCTGTATCTGTATCTGTATCTGTATCTGTATCTGTATCTGTATCTGTATCTGTATCTGTATCTGTATCTGTATCTGTATCTGTATCTGTATCTGTATCTGTAGCTGTAGCTGTAGCTGTAGCTGTAGCTGTAGCTGTAGCTGTAGCTGTATCTGTATCTGTATCTGTATCTGTATCTGTATATGTATCTGTATCTGTATCTGTATCTGTATCTGTATCTGTATCTGTATCTGTATCTGTATCTGTATCTGTATCTGTATCTGTATCTGTATCTGTATCTGTATCTGTGTCTGTGTCTGTGTCTGTGTCTGTGTCTGTGTCTGTATCTGTATCTGTATCTGTATCTGTATCTGTATCTGTATCTGTATCTGTATCTGTATCTGTATCTGTATCTGTATCTGTATCTGTATCTGTATCTGTATCTGTATCTGTATCTGTATCTGTATCTGTATCTGTATCTGTATCTGTATCTGTATCTGTATCTGTATCTGTATCTGTATCTGTATCTGTATCTGTATCTGTATCTGTATCTGTATCTGTATCTGTATCTGTGTCTGTGTCTGTGTCTGTGTCTGTGTCTGTGTCTGTGTCTGTGTCTGTGTCTGTGTCTGTGTCTGTGTCTGTGTCTGTGTCTGTGTCTGTGTCTGTGTCTGTGTCTGTGTCTGTGTCTGTGTCTGTGTCTGTGTCTGTGTCTGTGTCTGTGTCTGTGTCTGTGTCTGTGTCTGTGTCTGTGTCTGTGTCTGTGTCTGTGTCTGTGTCTGTGTCTGTGTCTGTGTCTGTGTCTGTGTCTGTGTCTGTGTCTGTGTCTGTGTCTGTGTCTGTGTCTGTGTCTGTGTCTGTGTCTGTGTCTGTGTCTGTGTCTGTGTCTGTGTCTGTGTCTGTGTCTGTGTCTGTGTCTGTGTCTGTGTCTGTGTCTGTAGCTGTAGCTGTAGCTGTAGCTGTAGCTGTAGCTGTAGCTGTAGCTGTAGCTGTAGCTGTAGCTGTAGCTGTATCTGTATCTGTATCTGTATCTGTATCTGTATCTGTATCTGTATCTGTATCTGTATCTGTATCTGTATCTGTATCTGTATCTGTATCTGTAGCTGTAGCTGTAGCTGTAGCTGTAGCTGTAGCTGTATCTGTATCTGTATCTGTATCTGTATCTGTATCTGTATCTGTATCTGTATCTGTATCTGTATCTGTATCTGTATCTGTATCTGTATCTGTATCTGTATCTGTATCTGTATCTGTATCTGTATCTGTATCTGTATCTGTATCTGTATCTGTATCTGTATCTGTATCTGTATCTGTATCTGTATCTGTATCTGTATCTGTATCTGTATCTGTATCTGTATCTGTATCTGTATCTGTGTCTGTGTCTGTGTCTGTGTCTGTGTCTGTGTCTGTGTCTGTGTCTGTGTCTGTGTCTGTGTCTGTGTCTGTGTCTGTGTCTGTGTCTGTGTCTGTGTCTGTGTCTGTGTCTGTGTCTGTGTCTGTGTCTGTGTCTGTGTCTGTGTCTGTGTCTGTGTCTGTGTCTGTGTCTGTGTCTGTGTCTGTGTCTGTGTCTGTGTCTGTGTCTGTGTCTGTGTCTGTGTCTGTGTCTGTGTCTGTGTCTGTGTCTGTGTCTGTGTCTGTAGCTGTAGCTGTAGCTGTAGCTGTGTCTGTGTCTGTGTCTGTGTCTGTGTCTGTGTCTGTGTCTGTGTCTGTGTCTGTGTCTGTAGCTGTAGCTGTAGCTGTAGCTGTAGCTGTAGCTGTATCTGTATCTGTATCTGTATCTGTATCTGTAGCTGTAGCTGTAGCTGTAGCTGTAGCTGTAGCTGTAGCTGTAGCTGTAGCTGTAGCTGTAGCTGTAGCTGTAGCTGTATCTGTATCTGTATCTGTATGTATCTGTATCTGTATCTGTATCTGTATCTGTATCTGTATCTGTATCTGTATCTGTATCTGTATCTGTATCTGTATCTGTATCTGTATCTGTATCTGTATCTGTATCTGTATCTGTATCTGTATCTGTATCTGTATCTGTATCTGTGTCTGTGTCTGTGTCTGTGTCTGTGTCTGTGTCTGTGTCTGTGTCTGTTGTGTCTGTGTCTGTGTCTGTGTCTGTGTCTGTGTCTGTGTCTGTGTCTGTGTCTGTGTCTGTGTCTGTGTCTGTGTCTGTGTCTGTGTCTGTGTCTGTGTCTGTGTCTGTGTCTGTGTCTGTGTCTGTGTCTGTGTCTGTGTCTGTGTCTGTGTCTGTGTCTGTGTCTGTGTCTGTGTCTGTGTCTGTGTCTGTGTCTGTGTCTGTGTCTGTGTCTGTGTCTGTGTCTGTGTCTGTAGCTGTAGCTGTAGCTGTAGCTGTAGCTGTAGCTGTAGCTGTAGCTGTAGCTGTAGCTGTAGCTGTAGCTGTAGCTGTAGCTGTAGCTGTAGCTGTAGCTGTATCTGTATCTGTATCTGTATCTGTATCTGTATCTGTATCTGTATCTGTATCTGTATCTGTAGCTGTAGCTGTAGCTGTAGCTGTAGCTGTAGCTGTAGCTGTAGCTGTAGCTGTAGCTGTAGCTGTAGCTGTATCTGTATCTGTATCTGTAGCTGTAGCTGTAGCTGTAGCTGTAGCTGTAGCTGTAGCTGTAGCTGTAGCTGTAGCTGTATCTGTATCTGTATCTGTATCTGTAGCTGTAGCTGTAGCTGTAGCTGTAGCTGTAGCTGTAGCTGTAGCTGTAGCTGTAGCTGTAGCTGTAGCTGTAGCTCTAGCTCTAGCTCTAGCTCTAGCTCTAGCTCTAGCTCTAGCTCTAGCTCTAGCTCTAGCTCTAGCTCTAGCTCTAGCTCTAGCTCTAGCTCTAGCTCTAGCTCTAGCTCTAGCTCTAGCTCTAGCTCTAGCTCTAGCTCTAGCTCTAGCTGAAGCTGTAGCTGTAGCTGTAGCTGTAGCTGTCTCTGTGTCGGTGACTGTAGGGGCCTATCTGTATCTGGACCTTTATCTGTATATGCGTCTGCGTATACGTTTGTATTTGTGTATGTTTCTATGTCCAAATAGAACATTTACTTAAAGTTAAACTATTTTTTTGCCACAGAACTGCTACGCAACTTGTAGGGCAGAACATTGCTACTCTTTTAAGTTTGCCAATGGTCTGTGTACAATCAAGCTCTATGCTGGCAATGCTGTGGATCTTAAACAAGAAGTATTTGGAGGATCATTTATAGCATGCTACAATGATAAATGTAAGCGTTTCGTTGTGTAAATTAGTCTTGCTAAGCGTAATGTAAAATCCTTAACCCTTTTAGAACCACAAGGATTACAGGCATAATTTCAAAAATCTGTGCACTCATGTAGTAGTAAAATGACACGTAGATTTAAAAAAATGTTAAAGGTTTTCCGAGATCTTAAATAGTTTTTGAGATACAGCATGGGACATATGTGTCCCTACGGTCCTCAAAGGAAAATTATCGAAAATAGGTTACGTTGTGAGTTATGTCAATATGTTTATTCTAAAAGTGATCTAACATGTATTAGTTGTTCTGGTACATTAGGAATTGAAAATATCAGTATTGAGAACATATTTATGTCCTTTATGAGTGTATAGTCATCTATGAATTGAGCTTATGGAAGCAGTTACGTGATGTTATATAACATACACAAACATGGCAGATATAATACATATTGTCCGCTCTCTCAATCTTTTCTGTTGCATATTGTGCATAACTCCTGCGTTTTTCGTCCTTTGATTTATCAACCTCTGTTGGGGTTGAAGTGAAATTCTTGCCTCTACGAACAGGTCTTGAGGTGATATCTCTTTGATGTAATCCCTAAATGTGAGCTCTTGCTATAATTTGCCTATATTCAAGCTTGGTTTTGCATTGTAGCCAGCGTTGAATTCTTGTCAAATATAGGTATAAATGGCTTTTTGACTCCAAATCATTATCTTGGCAACAAATTATCAATGTATGAAACATGCATTTAATTTCCTAAAATCAATAGAATGTTCATTTCAATCAACATCTATTGTCAATTTCCGATAACCACAGTCAATAACTTTTATTGGAAACTGTGTTTTCAGAAGCCTCTAGTTGAAAATAATGTCTTGCTCCAATCTCCATTTTCAATTAGCACAAAAACGTTTGGTTGTTCGTGTTTTGAGCAAGTCTATTTCTATTGATGATAATGATATGTGAAAGCTTTGGGTCTAGGACATTACCACCCTGTCAAAGTCCCCCTTTCCTCCCCCCTCCCACACCGATGCTAATGTTCCCCTGATCTTAACCCCAAACTTCAAGCCTATAGCTAACCCTAACAAAACCCCTCTCCAACTCTACATTTAAACCTAAAACTAACCCTAACCCTAGCCTAACCATAGTCCTAACTTATCCATAACTGGAAGAGGGGTAATTGCTCGGAGGTGGTAATATCGGGTTGGGGGATGTCGGAAGGGTAATTGTAACTATTAACGCTCCCTTTGAGGGGAAACTCTAGTGTAAGTGTACATCGTATATTATTTGTGCGCGGTATTTTGTTAAATCTCATACAAAGTAACATGTATTTTACGAAATGACAGCGCGTCATGTTCACAAATACTGCGCGGACCATGCAGATTTGAGGGAATATTAGTCACTATAACATGTGACATTGACGATGTATGCAATGTATGCAAAAAAGAATGACTAGAATAAGGTGTAGGGCTTATCGTAGTAGTGACAATCTGCTCTGGTACTTGAACAAGTCGTTCTGTTATAGCTTCTACGCTTACTTTGTCGGCATATTTCTACAGAAAATTCACATCTTTTTCATAAAGAAGCAAGTTGTTTTCATCGTTTTTATTGTAAATAAACATTATTTGCTACGCATTTTGTTTAGTTATAGTAAATAAAAGTTCTGCTACTATTTGTATTCTAATGCCAAAACACATGCTTAGCAACATTGTAAAGAAAGTTAGCTCCCTTCCGGACCGTAGGGACTTATATGTTCCAAACAAAAAAAATACTTAAACAAAAACAAGTAAAGCTATTAGGAAAAACAAATGTAAATATAATACCTAAATAGTAAACTTTTGAAAAACCGCCAGTAATTTCTTTCTGTTACAGTAACTATTTTTTATATAAAAATGTAAACTGTAGTTTTGCGAGTGGTCTAAAAATGCAAAGTTCCCATAAATATGACAACAAAACTATCTCATATATACTGAAAGCAACTTTATTTATATTAAGTATATCATGTAATAAATGTTTTAAAGCAAATTCAACAACTATGTTATTCCAATTTTATTTGGTGATAATTTGAAAATTTGGGACACCGGTGTCCCTTGGTCCTCAAAGGGTTAACTGGCCTTTCCTAATATGACCCAAATTGACCGAACCTATGCTAAAGAAATAATTGCAATTTATCAAAGCGATTGTTACAATCATTTTTTACAAGAACAACATATTAAATTTAAAAGCAAACTTGAGTTTGATCTAAAGTGGTTAAAGAAATGCAAATTTGAGTATTCTGGCTGAATGTATTTAGAGACAATCGGAAAATTTGTTGCCTGCGTAGAAAATATTTAAAAGATTATCAGATAAACTATTTCTTTTGTCTGATCGTTTTCATAATGTATCCAAAAAAATATTTTGTTGTATATGAATTAAAAATCTATCTTTTTTTATGTAGCACAGTGCACTTTAAAAAGCGAAGTAGAATCTAACATACCCATCACTGACGTGCCGCACGAGGTAAAGTTATGTGTTTTTGGACATACACACGTTCAAATAAATCTAGATTTTTAAGAACGTCATTCAAAAAGAATTATATCAGAAAAATGAAAAGTGACAAGAAAGAATATAAATCTAATTATTCAATGTCGATTCATTATTTTGAATTTAGAAATAATTTATTTTTATATCTATTTTTAGGTTTTATATTTTTACTTATTTACAAACAATATCCAATCATACTTAAATTTAAACTTTTTTTTTTTCTACGTTTGCATTTTGGGTATCAGTTTAAAACTTGTTTGGTAATGTTTGTACATCCTTTACTTCGTTTGCTTGTGTATGTTTTTTTAGTTTTTTTCTAGTCCAGCTTAACCTTAAATTCATTAATGGTGTCTTCTTCGTTCTTAATTATACTGAACAGGATATCCTCCTACATAATGACTCTGACTTCATCCAACATTTCATTCTAGATTTGGTACCATAGCCTGTATCTGTCCGAGAACAAACTAATTGGCTATTAAGCAACCATGAGCTTTACCGACAGGACCGCGCCAACCCCTATATAAGTGTCTGACCAGAGAATGTATTGAACTCTTCTTTGACAGCTGTTTGGTGAATGTCTGTACTTTCTCCGTGGTAGTTTAAGATGAACACCTCTCTGTTCCCTACAGCAAAACAGGCTTAATTGGTTTTAAAATGCAGCCATGATGGGGTCCATATTTTTTAATGTTCAGGGAGGCAGCTTTAGCTTAATCTATCATTGCTACGCATGGTACCTCCTACTAATCTAGACTTAATTTATCAAAGCATAAATAATAATGAGGGAGGGGGGGGGGGTGGAGTGGTCGGGTGGATAAGCTCATGTTCGCTAACCCGTAAAATTTTGAGTTTGAACACTCGGGCAGATGAGACTCGTCATATATATATATATATATATATATATATATATATATATATATATATATATATATATATATATATATATATATATATATATATATATACTTGTATATGTCTGTGTTTGTTTAAGAAAGCTCTTCATATTCAGCTTATTTCATACAAACAATAAAACCAAATGTCCTTCTCCTTCTTTATTTACCCATGTACGTATTGTCTTGAGTTATCTCTTCTCTAGTCGGGAATGATAATCTTAGCTTTACTATTGATTTAACTCTTCATCTAATGAGGATGTTTTTGCATTTCTCTTACAGGATTGTTATTACTTTTGCATTGGAGATCCCGATTGTATCGGCTATCACTACTTTCCCGGCGTTTATTGTATTAATACTTATACGGTTGGATCCACTGTTGACATAAAGAACTTTCCGGTGGACAAATTTGTCTATCTTAATTGTGAAAAATGTGAGTGTTAGTGGTTCATGTTTTACCTATCATAATATTAACTTATTTTGTTTTTAATTTTAAAAATTGCATTACCAACACTATTGATTAATTGATAAATATTACTTTAAGTGTAACGCCTTTTATAATTGTAAGCTTATGTTTTATAGGTTTCGAGAAAAATATACTGATCTTAAATGAAAATTGTGTTTTACCACAGAAAACAGTTGGGGAAGACACGTCTACACAGAAAGCAACAATCTACTGCCGGACACTCGACATTTGTCCAACAAACTGCTTAGACGACTTGTCTATATATTGGAAACAGTTGAATAAAGACTTGCATTCTGAACGTAGTGTCTTCTTTTAATTTTTTTTAAGTCAGTGAGACACTTGAGGATGTAGAACCGTGTAAGAAACGTGCAGGCGTGTGTTGTTAAAAATAATGTTTAATGCACAATGCAAAAATTACGTATTACATTATATGTATGTTTAAGTAGACTTGTCGGTCTTTGTTTCCCGGTTTATATGTGCGTGATAATGTGGGAAGAATAATCGGCTCTCTTTTGAATAACATTTTGTTAAGTAAGACATGTTTCTTTAAAGACAATTTTTAAAAATACGTACCTATTATATAGAAATATATGCTCGCCATGATGAATACACATAAATCATATTGAGTTGATAATTATATCAAAGAAATCCAATGATAACATCTTTAAATAGTCATACATTCTATTGGATTGCAAAAGTGCAAATGTTAAAACTTACGAATTATAGAATGGCTCTGTCTAAGCTATGTTAGCAGGATGTTGATTAATTTGTGTGACACTCAATTGCAACACAGAGTCATTAGACACAGCTTGGGTGAATGACAGATGGGCTGTCATAGTGTCTGTACTGCGGGATGTCAAATACGTAAAAAAGTTTGTTTTAACAGAAGTGCCTTGTTCCGTGGTAGTGGATGTTATGTTGTACTTATTGTTGTGTATATATTAAGTATTTTCCTATTGGGTCGTCAGGCCATAGGTTGTTAAAAGTGTAGTTGATGTATGTTGTGTTGTAACAGCAATAATTGCTTTTGAATAAACTAACGCCACCCAACACAAGTTATTGTTTTATAAGGAAACATCAGCTGTATTCGTACGTCTGTATTAAAGAAAATGAAGTGGGCATTATTTTAAAAGTCTATAACTCTATGTTACAACATTTAGAAAACATAATGTTATAAAACGAGTCATCATGGTTGGTATATGATAGTGGTGATGGCTGCAGTTAGAGGTTCAAGTAAAACGCAAACAAAATTTCAGCTAGGCAACTTTAATGGTTACTACTTTAGGTCTTGTCTAACTAGGAAATAAACTTCGACATCAATAGTGACCAGCCTTAGGGGCCAGCCCTATCACACATTATTAAACACATAACACGACTACATGCTAGCAAGCCTAACGTTCAACTGTCCTATTTTTCTGGCTCTCACCAGCTTGGGGTCCCTGCCTCGAATACAATAGGGTATCTCATTACGTGTTTCCCCAAATTTGCATACCAGCTTAGTTGGGTCGGGCTCAGGTCAAAGACCGGCGACCTGTACTTCCCCTAGCCTGCACATCGCTAGGTAGGGCGGGTTGAGGGGGGTGGGGCGTTAACACGCTGTCCTATTTCAGGTTTGGGACGGGAGGGGGGGTGGGGTAGATACTAGCTAGCAGTGGGACGAGGAAGCATTGTGTCGAAGCTCAGGTGTCGGACGGGAGGGGGTGGGGTGGATAACCAACTAGGCTAGCATCAATAATAGACTCAGTCTTAACACATAACCTTTAAGGTTTCAAGAATGGGTTTCAAGTTGTGAGAGTGTGAGTGTGTGAGTATTTGAGTATGAGTATCCTTTTAGTGAGTCTGAGTCTGAATGTGAGTGTGTGAGTATCATATGTTAATGAGTGTGAGTGTTAGTGTGAGCGTGGGCGTGGGCGTGGACGTGAGCGCGAGCACGAGCCTAAGCATGCGTATGGTTGCGAGTATGCATGTTTGTGTGTTTGTGTGTGTGTTAGAAAGTAAATGTAAGTGTGAGTATGGGTATTAGTGTGAGTGATAGCGAATGTGAATGTGGGTGTAAGTTTAAGCTTAAGGGCATTATGTATGTGTATGTGCAAGTGCTGATGCACATATTTCTCCGCCTCTTCTAGTTCTAGGTCAAACCACCTATGGTCAAAGCTCCTATGGTCAAAGCTCCGCTGTGGTCAAACCCCATGGTCCAGGAGACGTAACAGTGATAAATCTATACTTCGCAATTTCAGGTTTAAAAATTAAACTTTAATTAGATGTTTTGTATTTTGTATAATTAAACCATCTTCAATGAATGAGAGTACATGTCCAAATGAAGTATTACTATTATAAATCTGTATCTGTCTTCAAAAGCCAATGATAAAAACTGTAATACTAAAGCGAACATAACACTGTAAATTGACGATAAATTGCATGCCTGAGGAAAATAAAATTTAGTAACAACAACGTCAGATCCGAGGTTTATTAACAAAGATCGATTTATGTTTACAGCGCTGTGTTCTCATTACAGCGGTGGGATCGAGTCATGTATCTATTGCCCTTGTTATTGAATTGTGTAAAAAAAATTAGATCGGATAGACAAAATAATGTCTGATGGAGTAGGTAAATGCCGTATTACTTATTGTGTTAAATTCCACATCACACATAATGTATCTGATAGTATTAATACATTGAGACCACTACGCTATAATTATAATACATTTACATATTTTGGCTAATTCGTGTCTGTTTTGTGTTCTCTTTGTGGTAAGTGGTTAAAGGTAAATATTTGCTCTCTTCAGACATGAGTTCAGCATCCAAAGTTGAGTAGATGGTGATGCTTTGATTGGCGCTGTATTGTGTTTTAGGGTTCAGGTCATAACTTTCATCAAGTACAGTTTGTGAGTGTTATATAAGAATATTCGATAACGTTTAGGTAAGATCACTACCGATTTATTTTATTTTAAAATAAGAAAATAAACCGTCAATTTCTCATTAAGTAGGATTATATCTTACCTTGTGTAGAGAAAATCTATAGTCTAGCTAGTTAATACAAAGCAAGCGTGCAATAGGCCCCCGCATCCACTAGCATATTGATTTTAAAATATATTTTTTTCTCAACTTTAAAAAATCGAATCTTCATCACAGCGTTGAATTGCACATAACATATTTTGAATTTTGCAACAGTGCAGATAATACAATTGAACTAAATTTTAAAAGCTATAATGTGTTTCCGTTTTAAAAGCAGGAAGCTGATTTTTCAACCTTCGGATACGGCTGGATTATTTATGGTTATGCGTTGAATTTTGTTTACACGAGTTTTCGGGATTTAATTTTGTCTCAGGCTTAGTGTTTTTCGTCTGTAACGTTTGTCACAGATGTTAATTATACCTCAAGTAAAATGGGGCTTTTTGGTTTAATTTTCAAAATGCTTCTCGTCACGTTAACTAAGTATTTTTGTGGCACCACAAATCTCGGAATATTAATTTAACCCACTTTCTAATGTCTAATTAAGCTAACACTTGCACAGTGGAAGTTCTTAGATGACAATTTAAAAAAAAAAATTTCTGATCAATAGCATTAATATGGAGACAATTTAATTATTTTAAACGTCACAAAAATTTATTTATTTTGGAAAAAGGCTTTTGTTATATTCACAAATCACACACAAACCACAAATTTAAAAAGCGCTCCTAAAAGTATAAACAATAAATTTTGTTTGTGTATCCTAACTAAAGCCATATACTTGTATAACTAATGATATGTGTACACTGGTCCAGGAGATCCAGGGTCTACATTATTCCACGAGACTTGGTGCCCACACTGGTCCAGGATATCCAGGGTCCACACTGGTTCGGGATATCCAGGGTCCACACTGGTTCGGGATATCCAGGGTCCACACTGTTCAGGATATCCAGGGTCCACGCTGGTCATGTAGATCCAGCGTCCATAATAGTCCAGGATATATTGGGTCCACACTGGTCCTTGAGATCCAGGGTCTACACTGGTCTAGAAGATCCAGGATCCACACTGGTTCAGGAGATCCAGGGTCCACACTGGTTTTGGAGATCCAGGGTCCACACTGGTCCAGGAGATCCAGGGTCCACATTGGTACAGGATATCCAGGGTCCACATTAATCCACGAGAGTTGGCGCCCACACTGGTTTAGGAAATCCAGGGTCCACTCTGGTCCAGGAGATTAAAGAAGATCTTCTTGATCACCAATAGCATCTACATCATAATTCTTCACCTTCACTCAGGTCACCTATTTCACTAAGGTGATTCCCTATGTATAGCAGTTCATGCTAAACGAGAACCTTCCTTTAATTTCTAAATGATTTTGCTGAAACGTGAAGAAAAACAAGGTACTATATAATCACTAATGCTGATGTATAAAAAAGATAGTACAAAAGCAGGTCAACATGTATGAAGTTGCAGTACTGCAACAAACGTTTTGTGTTGATATATAAATAAATTATGAATTGATTAAAAACAAACACAAACAGTAGGTAATACTAACCTTAAGTAATAAGAAATATATTTTATTTAAATCCCAATACAAGTTTATCCAATTTTGCTGAACTTCGAAACACCAATGAAAAATGCTAAGATACAAAAGGTTGAGAGCATGCACGAATTTGAGATTGGCTTGGCAATAGTAAAACTTTAAGTGACTTAGACATGCTCAGGCTATAGATTAACATTGTAGTAATCAAACAACGCGATGCACAGAATCAAACATGTTTATGCTTATATTTAATTGGAAGGTAACTGGTATGTTGCAGCCCTGTATCGGTATGCATTTAAGGGATAAAATAATTTCTCCAGGCACAGAAAAGGTTGTAAAGCACCAAAAGCTGTCAACAATCACATTACACTCTTTATATTCCGTATACGTGAAGTGATTTTTTAAATCATTCTGAGATAACAGCAGTCGGCAATTGTTACGCTACAACATCAATACAATTGTATTTATAAGAAAATATATTTACCGTATCCATCTCAGCCTGACCTTGTCCCATTATGTACCTGTCATGCAAAAAGTAACATATAATTTAAATGTAGAATATACATAAAATGGTATCGGATATCAACAGGTGGTCAATTACACTAGGTAATAACTCCATTGTCTCCACCCATAGATGAATTACAACCCTGTAAATAAATCTCTAAAAATTACCCCCTTCCCCACTATGAGTTTAATACCAGCGTCTTGGAAATACCTATTATACATTATAGGAGTTAAGTGATAAACTGTGTATTTTATAAAAATGCCTGGACATTTGATGGGATGGCTTAATAGTGCTGATTGCA